GTGTATATTTTGTTAAATATTTATCAATTTATATGTCATCAAATTTGGCAACTGGGTGTGGTTTCTTGACTTCTAACAACACCGCTACAAAGATCAATTTTCTTAAAAATAACGTCATTGTTGAGCTCACAGTCACAGGCACAGGCACAGCGCACGAATTTTCCACAATAATAAATAAATTAAAATAAGAGAAACAATGTATCAATTTATAACTGTATAAATAAATTAATTGGCTAATTAGTGATGGCTATATGCTTTCCAGCACGATTCCCATACGTAAAAGAGAAAAGCTGGTAAAATTTGTTTTCTCCTCCAATTAATGGATGACGTACTTTTCCTTGCTTCCCAATTAATCTATCTATGCTCACAAAAAACCTATTTATATAACCATCATATTTCAGCTGATTCATTATTTCTGCATACTACTTTAACTATTTGATCATCTTGTTAAGTTGATCTCATATACATTTAGCCAATTGGTCTGTTTTTTTCTTCTTCTAAAAGCAATCGTCGATATATCAAGCCATGTCGACAGCTTCAGCTTGCCTTGCAGAAGCCTACACAACGATGAAACTCCATAAAGAGAATATCAAGAAAAATAAGGATAAATCGGGCCGTGAAGAAGAAGAAGAAGAAGCAGGAAAAGGCTGTAATGGATGTTTGTCCATGTTGATGTTCAAGAAAATCTATCCAACTACACTGCCTTCTAAGGGTTTTAGAAATGCAGGTTCTGATTAGAATATAAAGAAGTTTGTTTATTTATACTAGAAATGGAAAAGAAAAAATTGTAACGGGATTTTGGTTGTAAGATCCTATTGAATTTTATGTGTTCATATATATATCTTTTTTACTTCTTTCTCAGTGGTTAGAGATAATCCCTAACTATGTGTTGTAAGTAGGAATGCTTTCAAGTCTCTTCGGTTGGTAGCTACATGTACCTTAATAGTTAAACAATTATATTTTATCATCAAAATTGCATATTTATACTATATAATTGCATATTTGATTTTATTCATATTGCATATGTGATTATGGCAGTATGTACATTCGATGGAATAGTATGATTTTTTAAACATTAGGCAACCTAATGCAAGACATGTTACCATCATACTTCTGCATATGTTACTTTTGAATTTGATCTTGCCTTGTGTGTGACATCAAGACCATAACAATATTAAGATATCGCTTTTATCGCTCATTTGTGTAAAATTTGATTCTCTGTGGCCATGTATTAGCGGAAAGCGGATTGTAATAGTTGATTTGACTAATGGATTAAATTAGCTATTTGTATTTAAATATTTGTTGAATAACATATTGCATAGTTATTTTGAAATATTTATATTAACATGTTATTTTACGAATATTTTCTTTTCAAAACGCTACTATGTTAAACGTTTTCATAATTAGCGGGTTGGGAAAGCTAATCAAATAAGCTCTTATCAAATTAGTGAATTTGATGGGTCAAACTTCTAAATAAAGTTAAATCCGCTAATTTTACATAAATCCACTAACATTTAAACAAAGCCTATAATTTAGTTCCACATGAATTGATGGGAATCACTTATTATGTTGCTTCAACCCTTATGTTCAATTCAACAACCTAATTGAGTTGGTAAGACAAGAACAAAGTGTACGTGTAAGGCCATCTTCAGCCCTTATCTCTACTCTAATGCGGACTTTACTCTACTCTATAGTAGAGTGAAATATTTGTCTCCAGCCTTTATCTATACATTTTACTCTACATTTTTTTATTCATTTTTATTTGTGTATTTTATGATTTATTATGTTGTTTTTATTTGTATATTTTATGATTTACGTTTATTGTAAACTTTTAATTTTAATGAAATCTCTTGTTTATATGTGTTAAATTTTTATTCATATAGTACCATTTTAAATGATATCAAGATTATTTTATTTAGCATTAATATTTATAATAATAAATTTAAAACAAAATTATGATTAATTATCAATTTTTAATAATCAATAGATTATATTATAAAACCATTATAAAAAAGTATTTCATTAAACGCATTATACATAAACAAAAAGAAAAAGAAAAAACAATGTAGTAATCTATATAAAAATTATATAATTGATATCAAAAAGGAAAAAAAGATAATAATTAAGACCAGCGCAAATGAATAGTATTGCGCCACATCTGACGCAATACTGTAGATATCTTTCATGTAGCGCGTAAATATAGCGCAACGCTGGAGAATGAATAATACACAATTCTAGCGTAATTGAACAGTCTGACGTAGCGCTGGAGATGCTCTAATAAGTAATAACAATAAAATATGGATGTTTAATCTCCCCATTTCTTTAGTTAGAGCTAGATAATGTAATAAGCATCAATTGTGGCCCTACTTTTCTACACAAATATGAATGAGTTACTACTTATTATACTCACTTTAATAATGTATGTACATTGTGAGGCTATAAGTAGAATCGTACACAATTTGCAGCGTGGCAATTGACAATTATTGTTCCGTATGTGATTGTACACTCTTATGGCATGATTGGTAGGAAGAAATGACATGGGAATGGAATGATCATTCCCTTACTCATTCCTTATCCTATGATTGGTATATTTTTTGAGAAGGAATGATCATTCCAATGAGAATGACAAAACCTATATCCATGGGATTAGCCATTCCATAATAAATGGAAGGTTTTTTCATTCCCATGTGTGTAGGAATTAATTTTTCAAAAATAAAATTAACAAATAATAATAATAAAAAATAAATATATATAATGTATATTATAAATCATGATTAAACTATATTAAATGAATTATTTTAAAAAAAATTCAAATAAAAAAAAGTAACTTACTTTTATTTATTTTTTAATTAGATATATTAAATACTTATATAAAAATAAAACTAAAAAAGCATTTATATATAATTTAAAAATATATTTTTTTTATTTTTATATATTATTAAAACTATATTATTTTTTATATATTAAAAATATATTACTATTAAAAATATATTATTGAAAAATATTAAAAATATATATTATTAAAAATATATTACTTTTTATTTTTAGATATTATTAAAAATATATTATTTTTCAAAAATAAATTTCAAATAAAAAATTAAAAACTTACTTTTATTTACTGTCTAATTAAAAAATAAAATATATATTATTAAAAATATATTACTTTTTATTTTTAAATATTACTAAAAAATATTATTTTTTATATATTAAAAATATATTACTTTTAAGAATATATTATTTTTAATATATAATTTAAAAATATATTATTTTATTTTTATATATTATTAAAAATATATTATATTTTATATTATTAAAAATATATTATTTTATTTTTATATATTAATAAAAAAACATTTATATATAATTTATTAAAAGTATATTATTTTAAAAAAAATATTTTATTTATTTTGATAATTAAAAAATGATAATGTCATTCCATTCCAGTCATATTCCTTCTGCATACCAAACGCATCAATGACAAAATATTTTTCATTCTATTCTCATAATCATTCCATTCTTTAATTCATTCCATTCCTACGAAATTTCATTCAACCAATAATAAAAACTTTGAAATAAAAAAGACTATGCACCCTTGGCACAAGATACAAATGAGTAAAATTACAAAATATTTTCAGACTAAATGGTGTATTCACAGGTAGAGGTGTAAAGGTCTAAACAAGATGATCCCATATCGAATTTTTTATATTCGTATTCGGGCTCGAACCTTTATTAAAAGTAAGCAGAGATGGAGTTCGACTCACTTATTGATATTATTGAGTCGAATTCAAATTTCAACGAGTCAAACTAAGGTACAAATTTAAAAATTAGATAAAAATCATGTTCTCAAACTTTAACCAATCGTGCTTCATTCGATTGAACCGAACTAAAGCTTAACGAGCTGGACTCACGAACAGTTGAACCTTTAACATCTATATCCACAAAGAAGGCATGTTTCATGTTTGGTTAGAGGAAAAGGGATAGTAGGCGAGTTTTTGTNTTTTTTAGTCAAAATTCATCGTGTCCTCCATTTTTCTTCCCCTTGAGAAAACGAGGGGACTTGTCGGGAAGAAGGAATTTAAAAAAATATAAATACTATTGTATTCTTGTCATATGTAATATTTTATTTTCTTGTTTCATATATCATTAAGAATAAATTTATTATTTTTACATTATTTTCTTCTTTATTTTTTAACAAAACGAAATTTACCATTTGTCCTCATTTTCATTCCTAAAAAAATTATTTCAAACAAGATAATATAATTTTTCAAGCCAAACATAAGGGGTTTGATATCAACTAGTCAATTAGTATATATATTTTACAATTAACAAAATGAAAGGAAAAATGAAAGGTTAACCAAATTAACACAGTCATGGTAGATCTGTGGTCTGTGCACATGAAGTCAACACCAAGGTCCCCCAACATGAAATTTACCAAATTCTCCACATAAGACCCTAAAAGATGGCAACATCAAGCAGCAAAATCAAAGGGCTTTTCTGTATTTTAAACATTCCTGTAAAATGGGTGAAGCTGTAAACCACCAAAATAAAATAAAATAAAAAAGAAAGAAAAATCTTGCAATCAAAAACCCAAATAATTATTGACCTCATTGGTGTCCTTCGGTGGGAATTTTCCCTCCTTTTGACATCCAATCTCCAAACTTTTTCATCTCACTAACCAAAGACCCTTTGGAGACAAAAAGGACGGGGGCAGCCGGTGTAAAATTTATGCCGGCATGTTTTTAGCTGCATTTCGAGTTCCAAGATTGAATTTTTAAGACTCCCAACAAACCTTTTTCTTTTTCTCTTTTTGGTTCGCTCTCAATTTTACTTGCATTTCAAGCTGCCCCACCTCACCACCTCAGATCCATGATTAGGTAAACATATTGAAACAAGTGTTAAGTTTTTTCGTTTTCATGATGGTGGCCCTTGTGAAAGTGATCTGCGAGCTCTTTTAAAGTTTTGAGTTGTGTTGCTCGCATTCCCACATTGTAAGCAGGATAAGTTATACTGTTGGAAAATCGAAGGAAAAGTGGCATCTTGCTACTATTTTTTGTCCTCTTTTTTTTTTTTAGANGTGAGTCTTTTGGGTTCCATCCAACTTTTTTTTTTCATCTTAATTGAGTATTTTCCTGCTTCTTGGAATCCGATTCTCAAAATTCATCTGGCTTTCAAGAAACAGCTGTGGTTTGAGTTGAATCTTTGGTGCTTTGGCCAAGAATATCCTGGCCCCTGGGCAGTGTTTGTGGGCTTCAAAGCTTGATTTGTTTTATGGCTTTGTGATAAAGTTTACTCATTTATGTTGGGAAATCATTTTATGGTGTTATTAGAGTGCCCCTATCATACTTCAGGAAAAAGGTATTTGCTGCTTTTATCTCAATGTATGCGTAAATTTTAATGTTCCCTATGCCTTGTTCTGAGTTTCTGATGCTCATTTTCAAGATCCGCGTTTCCCATTGTATATCGCCACATGTTACAACAATGGTCCCTTTTGGTGGAATTAAAGCACATGCATATACGTTTGCTCAGTGTTGAAATTATTGCTATCTGATGCTCAATGAGCAATTGATATGTTGCGATTTTGTTACAGTGAGCTATCAGCATACTGATTATTTATAGGTTAGATGTTCCTCAGATGCATAATAAAATGATTTTTTTCTTTTCTTTGGCTCGATTCATTCTGTAGTTTTGGACTTAGTCTACTTGAGCAGTCTCCCTTTTTGTTCTTTTCCATTGAGATAATGTAAAAGTTTCCATTTACTTTTATTTATGGTGCTTTCAGAGTGGAGTTAGATAGTTTTTGTGTCCATTATTTTTTTTCTCTATCTAAGCATGTAATGATGAGTTGTTCCGATTATTCAGTCTTGGCATTTGGTTGAGGTGCTCGTGTTAGCAGATGATACTTGGATCAGGTTAGAATATGTCGAGGGTTTCCAAGTGGAAGCTTGAGAAGACTAAAGTGAAAGTTGTCTTTCGGCTCCAATTTCACGCGACACATGTATGGCTTTCTTAAATTATTCAAATTATAGATGTACGAAATATTCTATTCTGAATTCGGATAGACTTCCCTGCTTTCTCTCGATCGGTTTGAATGAACTGTAATTCGTCTGACTTGAGGTTAAGTGTGTACTGATTCTAGCTTTACCTGGATGTATGTAAATTATAATCTCTGAACTGAACTGATATTGTCCCATCACTTGCTTTCTTTCTGCAAGAATCATAAAGGACTATGAAAATTATTAGTGCTCTCCATTTTGTGCATTTAAATTTGTGTTACATTTTACAGAATGCTCTATGCTTGACATTTCAGATTCCACAGTCAGGATGGGATAAGTTGTTTATATCATTCATCCCTACTGATTCCGGGAAGGCAACAGCCAAGACAACCAAAGCCAACGTAAGAAATGGAACATGTAAATGGGCCGATCCTATTTATGAAACCACAAGGCTTCTCCAAGATTCTAAAAGCAAACAATATGACGAGAAGCTCTACAAAATTGTCGTGGCCATGGTACAGTTTCTTAGCCTAACATATCNACTCTAACATATCAGAATTTGATACTTCATACTTGTGAATTTTTTCTGGGATCTAATGGCATGAAATTTCTGAACAGCTCAAGATGAAATCTATAAAAATAAAATGTGAAGGCAAATAAGATAAAAAGGAAAGTATTAACTGATTGATGATGCATAGATCAACGTATTATATTCCGGTTTTCCCTGATTGCAAAAAGAAAAAAGAACTAGAAAATAAGTTAATGAATAAACAGAATGAAAACAATGAATGCAGTAGTTTTCAAAGTACCTTTGCGTGACCATGTTAATTAAACTCTCTTGCATTGCACTGCCAAATTCGCATGAAGGCTTTTAAATTGTTCTCCATATGAGAGTAAATTGAAATACTTGTAGTTAGGCATTCCAATTTTATCATCGAACCCCCATTCACTTACTTAGTTATCCTTACTAATAGTAGTTAACACTTTTGAGTGTTCTATCCTCTCTCTCTCCTAACTATGCCCTTGCACCTAACTTGAATATTTCCCCCAATTTCTAAATAGAAATAAAAAAATGCAGCAAAATAAGTACATAAAAAAGGTTGCTCATATATGTGAGTGGTTAAACGCTGTTGCTTTCGATTTTGATCACACAAGACATAGTACTTGACAGCATGAAATCTATGGACTTGTATTAATGCCGATTTTGTTGGCCCCCTCTGATAAATCAATCATCTCTTAGCACATTCATGGCTCTTTCTACCATTTCTTTCTAAATGTCATCTGATAATTTTCCATCCATGTCCAGACTAAGTAATTTGTTCAATTCAATTTTCATATTTCTCAGGGAACTTCACGGGCTAGCATCCTCGGGGAAGCTACCATCAACCTTGCCGATTATGTTGATGCTTTAAAGCCATCTGCTGCAACATTTCCTCTTCATGGATGCAATTTCGGAACTATATTACATGTAATGTAAATTTAGACAAACTGCCAATGCTATGTTAGCCTGTCAATTAGTGAACACAATGTTATACCAGTTGATTTAGGGTTGATGGATTCAAGTTTAAGTGTACGCAGATTTTTCAATGGCTGCCGTCCGAAACATGTTTACCTTCTTTTGATTATTTTTATTTCATTTTGGCAGTCTGGTGATTCCTTTATTTTATTCTTTTAGTTTTATTCTGTTACATAATCCACTGTGCTTGTGGTTGTTGTGTGTAGCATATTGTAGTGTTTTCTTCAGTTTATTGACCGAGTTCATTTCTATTTTCCAGATATCTATCCAGCTTCTTACCTCGAAAACCGGATTTAGGTATTGGACTACTAATGTGGAATGCTGAACTACTGTTGTCATTATTGGGTTATCTGTCAGTAACTAGGTATCTAAACATAATTTTTTTATCTTTTATTTACTTTTTGTGTAGAGAATTTGAACAGCAGAGAGAACTCAGAGAAAAAGGAATACAATCTGGGCAAGACAGTCATGCCCCTGGGAAAATACCATCACCCGGATACGTCGCCAATTATCAGGACAATAAGGTCTCATTATTATGCACTTCTCATTCAATCTTCACCACAAACTATTTATCATGAGCTGTAAAAAAATGCACCTAAAAAGAAACAGTAATTCAGAAGTTATCAATTATTAGTACACACTTATGGAGCATACATATTTTCAGTGGGGAAATTGAGATATAGGCATTTCTGATGGATCTATATAGAAATGAATCTGTGATGCTCAACACTAATTTAGCTCTCAAATAGCATTGGTAATTGTCTAATTGATGTTCCTTTATGATTTTTATTTTACTTTTTTCAATTCCCGTAACAGATGAGCTCTCCACTCGAGGAGGAGGCAAACCCGACTGAGGAAACCGACTCAGCCACCGGATTCGACGCCTCCTCCAATACTTCCGGAAGTTTCTATGCGGAGAGGAATGAGACTCCCAGCACACACGAAATCGACAACCTCAATCAAAACATAGAGAGAGTGGGTCCTGCTGGTGAGTCATCTCTTTTCGACCTTAAGCTGGAAGTCAGCTCCCTGCAGAGCCTGGCTGACGAGCTCGGTGCCGAGACACAGAGGCTCTCACGGCAGCTGATAACCGAACGATCCTCAGCCGAACAACTTGCTCGAGAGGTCTCGATTATTAAATCGGAGTGCCTTGAGTTCAGGGGCGAAATAGTCAAGCTCCGAGATTTAAAGTCCAGCCTCTGCACAAATCGGACCACCGATTTGCAGCTCCAGTTTCCAAAGGGAATTGCCATGGTGGAAAGCAAAATCAGAGATCTTCACAGCAAGACTCGTCTTTCCTCGAATGGCAGTGACCCGAAGTTTATTTGCTCGGAGCTGGAAGTTTTGCTCGATTTTCTGCTCGGACTCAAGCTTGAAAATGGTAATGGGCTGGGCTTGGATTTGTGTCAGCCCGAAAGCATTCTCCCGAATCCTGCAGACGATATCGATGCAATGAGAGGGCAGATTCTCGATCTCGTGCGTGAGCTGGACGAGTCGAGGGTCGAGAAGGAAGATCTTATCCGGAAAACGAATCAGATGGAGTGCTATTACGAGGCGCTCGTACACGAGCTTGAGGAGAATCAGAAGCGATTGCTTGGCGAGCTGCAGCTCTTGAGGAACGAGCATTCTGCCTGCCTCTACACTTTATCGATAGCCAAAACCGAGGTGGACTCGCTGAGTCATGATCTGAGTCAGCAGATGGCGAGGTCGGCTGACGAGAGGCGAGAACTGGAGGCTCTCAATGAGGAGCTCGAGAGACGAGCTGTTACTTCTGAAACTGCATTGAAGCGGGCCCGCATGAATTACTCGATTGCTGTGGATAAATTGCAGGAAGACCTCCGGCTGCTCTCTTCACAGGTCACGTCAATGTTCGAGATGAATGAGAATCTCATCAAGAATGCTTTGCCTGCGCGGGATGTGAAGAGATGTTCAGGTGGGGATATTATTCTCTTGCGGGACCTGAGAAGATCCATGCGCGTGCAGGAAGAGCATTACGAAATAGTTGAGAGAGAACTTACGGAAATGTACTCGGTTAATTTGGAATTGGATTTGTTCTCTACGGCACTGGTGGAATCCTTGCGTGAAGCTGATAACAGCATTAGAATTGCGGATGATGAATTGAAACTCTCGATGGCTTCTCAGAACAAGTTGATGATGAACCTGCAGAAGGCTACAGATGATATTTACGCGCTCAACGAGTACAAATTGAGTAGCGTCTCTCGGTTTAATGATTTGGCCCTGCAGAATAAACTATTGGAAGATAAATTAGCGAGTGCTGCTGAGAAGAATTATCTTCTTGCTGAGAAGCTGAAGGATTTGGAAAGAGGTATGATGGAATACGAGAGTTACCGGAGCATGTATGCAGCTTGTTCGGCAGAGAATGCGGAGCTCTCTCGTCATTTGGAGCAGAAAGGATCTGAAATCGAGAAACTGGCTAATGAAATCTTAACTTTGAAGGAGAAGTTGATGAACCTTAAAGTTGAGTCTGATGAACTTGTCTCGTCCAAGAAAAATCTAGAGGGAAGTATCGATTTCGTACGAGAAAAGTTGGCCAACCTGTTGGAATCTTACGGCACGCAATTTCATTTCGTGGATAATTTTCAGAATCTCGATTCGGAGAGTGTAGATGTGAAAGATGCTGCCTTGCGGTTAGAGAAGATCCAGCTTAGTGTGTACACAAGATACTGTGAACTGCTGGAAGAGAATCAGATTCTGGAGAACGAGAGAGCCGTTGCTGACGTGTCATTGAGCGCTTCCAGGTCAGAAATTGTGATGACGAAGGAAAAATTCAAAAGCGACTTAGAGGACATGGTGACTAGGCTAGACGTGTCCAATGCCCTCGTGGGAAAACTTCAAGCCGAGCTCGAATCAGTGGATAGCAAACTCCGGCTGAGTTCCGAGATTGAGGAGAAGCACATTAGCCTGAACAAAGTGCTAATGGCTGATCTTGCTCTTTTGGAAGATCAGATGCTAGAATTGACTTGTAAAAATGGTCACCTTGTGGATGAGGTCTCGATCTTGGATGCTCTTGCAGAGGAACATGAAAGGAGTGAATTAACCATTTCTGAGTTAATGCATGATAAGCAAGAACTTAGCAAGTCATTACAGGAAAAGACTGAGGAATCTACCAAGCTTTCGGGTGAAATTAGTCATCTGAAAGAAACTTCGAAAATTTTGCACGATGAGTTGTTCATGGAAAAAGCCTGTAGAAATGAACTTGAAGGAAGAGTTAGAGATCTTTCTTTCCAGTTGAATAAGGCTGAAGATGAGTTGCTTAGTTTAGAACAGCAAAAATCTGAACTCATGCATGTTAGGGAACTGGCATCTGAACATATATCCGAAAAATCAAGACTCGCTCGTCTTCTTGATCAGCAAAATATGCTAATAGAAGACCTTAAGAGAAATAATTCCTACCATGGTGTTCTCGAGAGTGAGTTATTAGAGATGCACGAGCACTTGGTTGCAACAGATGTAAGACTTATTTATGTTGCAAACCATTATGAAGCCATAATCGAGGGACTCCTGCAGAAACTCGTGTCCTCAGGCAGCTGTCTTATGGAACTTCAGAAAAAGTATCACGAGACAGAAGCTATGCTGAATGAACATCTTGAAGGTGAAACTAACTGGTCAGAAGAAAAACTCAACCTGTTGACAAGTCTGGAAGCTTCTGAAGCTCAAAACAGGATTCTTTCAGATTCAAACAAAGAGACACGGCATCAGCTCGAGGAGTGCAGGAATAAGCTAACGATGATGATTGATGCCGAGCAAGAAATCTACGACTTGGCCATCTCGAATAAAGAATTCGAAATTTTAGTTACAGTACTCGAAAGCAAAATTCGCGAACAGTTTGCTAATATAAAATTGTTGGAAGGCTCCAAAGACCAGCTTTCGATTAAGCTCTCTGAACAGGTTTTGAAGACAGAAGAATTTAAGAATCTTTCTACCCATTTGAAAGAACTCAAAGACAAGGCCGAAGCCGAATGTCTTCTGGTTTCTGGGAAAAGAGAAACGGAGGTGGGCCAGGTGGCACCTTCTCCCGGACAGGATTCGTTACGAATTGCATTCATGAAAGAACAATACGAAACTCAGGCGCAAGAACTAAAGCAACAGGTTTCTATATTGAGAAAGCATGGGGAGGAGATGCTACTGAGGCTGCAGGATGCAATTGATGAAATCGAAAACAGGAAAAAATCCGAGGCTGTGAATGTGAAGAAAAACGAGGAGCTCTTGATCAGGTTCTCTGCTTTAGAGGAAGACTTGCAGTCGGCCGTAAAGGAGAAATGTGAGAAAACAAATGCTTATGACCGAACAAAGGCCGAGCTGGAATGCGCGTTGCTTAGCCTGGAATGCTGCAAGGAAGAAAAGGAAAAACTCGGGTCTTCTTTGCGGGAATTCGAGGCAGAAAAATCTCGACTTGCTAGTGATCTCGAGTCGGTTAAGGCACAACTGGAGGATTTGAAATCTTCAATGAGATTGGTCAATGGTGAAAAGGTAGATTCAACTGAGCCAGGGCAGTTACGAATCATCCAGGTAATATAGCTTCATTTGCAGTTTTGATCTCTGGTTGAGTTAGTTGGGTGTAAGCAAAACATGGTAAATGAGTTGAAACCGAGTTACTCGGTGATTCTGCAGGAGGATGCTGCCTTTGCAACGAACGACAAGAATTTGGATGTTTGTCACAACAATTCGGGAGCCCAGAGACTGAGATCTAGCATGGAGCATTTACACGAGGAGGTATATTTCTTATTGAAAGTTTATTTTGTGTTATAACATGATTAAATCAAATATGGAAGTTTGTGTGATGGAAATCTAATGCAAGTCATGCATTTTAAATTTTCTGTTCATACAGCTTGAGAAGATGAAAAATGAAAACAAAGCTGACTGCATAAGCCGTGATGTCGATCCAGATATTCAAATCCTGCAACAAGAAATCATGAAACTGCATAAAGTGAGCTCATTGACTGTTCCAGCTTCTATAATCTATACTGCTGAACACATTCTAATCTCTCTCTCTCTCTCTCTCTCTCTCTCTCTTTTCCTTTTGGTTTTTCTTGTTGGATCTTCGGAAGGCAAATGAAGAGCTCGGACAAATGTTTCCCCCATTCAATGAAATTTCTGCTGGTGACAATGCCCTAGAAAGGGTGCTAGCATTGGAAATCGAGCTTGCTGAAGCCTTGAAGTCGAAGAGAAAATCGAAAGTCGTATTTCAGAGGTAGGTCAATACAAAATCTCTTTGTGCCCCTCAGAAATTTTTTTAACAATCACTGCATCCCAAGTTCTCCTAGGAACCTCTAGTCTACAAGGAATTTGGCAAGTGTAAAGAAAACTCTCAACATTTTCTTCGAGCAAAGTTGTCACCTTAGCTTCTACTCATCAATAACCAAGCTGAATCGAAATACTCGCATTCTAACTGAAGAAAATCAAGCTGTTGAATAATATCTTACATATAAATGCTTGTGAATGTCAGTCTTCAAGCATTTATTTGGTTATCAATATCATTTTTTACAGAGGAGAAGTTTGAAAAAAGGCTCCATATCAATTACATAGCTTAAGAGAATAAAAGAATGCATTAAAGTTGCAATTTGCCATCCATAAAATAAAATCCAACACATTTTGGCTTTTTTGCATCCTTCAGTTCTTTCCTGAAACATCATGGGGATGAGGAAGCCATTTTCAAGAGCTTTAGAGACATAAACGAGCTCATAAAAGAAACCTTGCAGCTCAAGGAAAGGCGAGCTGCCCTTGAGGCTGAGCTAAGGGACATGCACGATAGGTACTCTCAGCTCAGTCTCCAATTTGCAGAGGTTGAAGGTGACAGGCAAAAGCTCAGGATGACACTCAAGAATGTTCGCTCATCCAGGAAGCTTCCTGGATGAAACCACTACATAGACAGAGCTGGTTTCATTCATGCATTGCCCTCAATTTTGTAAATAATTGTTGCAGCAGGCCAGAATTGTAGTGGTGAGTAACTGTTATTATAGATTATTGTCATAGTTTATACAATTATATATATAGATATGTATTATCTGGACTCCATTTTTTTTTTTCCTTCCTCTCTTGATTGTAATTAACTGATGTAAACTGTAAAGCCAGTCAATTATTCCAATATTTAACCCTTGTTTTATTGCTTGTTTTATTTCAGGATTTATGTTCTCTACACACATTCCATATTATATGTCCATCTTGTGAATATATTCATTGTTTTTTTTAAACCTAAAAAATACTATAAAATGTAAATATGAGATAATATTTATTTTTATCTTTTTCCGAACATTTATCTCTCTTTCTATAATAATTGAGATAATACCTCCTATGGAATTTGAATATGAAATAATAATAATTGAGATAAGATCTCTTTTATGTAATTTGAATATGAAATAATATCATACCCGGACATTTACAGAAAATATATACAATTTACAGAAAATGCATATCATACGTTAGTCTATTAAATCATACGACAAAATGCTCACTAAGTTATATACAATAAAATGCAATTAAATCTTAGAACAAAATGCTCACTGAATCATACAACAAAAATGCATGGTGGTCGTATGCGTTCGAAAGAACTTTTAATTTATAAATATATTGAAGTTGTATTTCACGATTTATATACCAATCGTTTTAGTATATTATCATAGAATAATTTAAATATTCTTAGACTAAACTTTAAGAAAATTTGGGCATTTAACACATTTTCAAGAAGAATATAGAACATCAGTATATTTTATGTTAATATTTACACAAGTTAATCATGTGTCATTTCGGACAAATTTATCACTTCTCCTTTAAAAGTTGATCGATGCACATTGCACAGTTAGATAGAGATAGGGTTCTAAACTATCTGAATGGAGCTCAAGCTTTTATCCCTGACTTTAACAAATTGAATTCAAGCCTTAACGAACCAAATTATAAATAAAACATATATACTAATATAAGTTATACTTTTCAAGCTTTATCAAACAGAGCCGAACCGACTAGTTAACTTAACGTGCTCCAATCGAGCCAAATCACACTCGGGGTTAGTTTAAGTACAAAATGTATGTAGATATTTTTATTTGGGAATAAATACACTTTTCTTACTTAACTATCCGGAAATTTATACTTTACCTGCAAAACTTTTTTTTTACCCTTTGTCTACCTAATTTTAATTTTTTGTATACTTTGCCATTTTCGGTCACCGCCGGCCACACGTGGCAATAAGGCACAAAAGCCACGTATTGGTTTATGAGGCCAGCGGTAACCGGAAATGGCAAAGTATACAAAAAAATCAAAGTTTGATTGGTAAAGTGTAAAAAAAAAGTTTTATAAACAAAATGTAAATTTATAAATTGTAGCTTGAAAGTTCTCGAACCACTCCCTGTATATCATACACAGTATGAAGGTAACCTAGCAGCAAGCATCGCCTGAATAGAGACTCAGTTACGGAATCACTTGGAGAAAAATATCTGCCCTAATTGTGTGGTTTCTACAAGAGCTCGAATGGAGCTGACCTTTTCTCCCCTCAATTCAAACTCCGTCGTTTCAGCTGCACGACTGCCCGGGCCTGCAGCCAGAAGCTTCTCGCCTCCTCTTCCTCTTTTCCCGATCCTCTCAAGAATTTCTCAACCTTTTTCGGCTTCGAAATCTACAGGTACACAAATTTTGTGGTGTCAAACGATGAACACGGTTCAGTTGCCCTTCTTGTGTTTCTGTATTTTCTTCGGATGGCGTCAGTTTGCTGTGAATCGCGGCAAGCAAAAAAGCGACTGGCAGGTCGAGCTTTAGCCGTGAAGTATAGTTAGTTCATTTTTTAAGACTCCGACTTTCAAGTACTGTAGAAAAATGCGTGGCTTATTATTTATTTGTTATCTGTCTTAGTTTGACGTCTTTCACGACTTAACTGAGGAAAGGAGTAATCTTTTAGTTTGAGACAACCCCATTGATGAATGATGGCCTTTTTCAAAGAATGAAAATGCCGGATTTGGCTTTATGCAGTCGGTTATGTTATATTTTATCTGTTTACACTGTTTGGGGTTCAAAGCTCTCTATATATGGTGTCAAATTATACTCATGTTTTGTCTGCAAGCGTACTCAATTGCTGATATGGTGTTATATTTATGCCTCTGGTTCACTCTCCGAGCTCTAATGCGAAGTGTTAAAGGTACTCACTCCTTTTTGAGTGCAGGCTTTCTTTTACAATCCTGGAAAGTCAAGTCACGCATTTCCCTCCGTGCTACTGGTTTTGGCAATACATCAGATGTATCAGATGAATCGGCTTCAGATCATGTGTCGATAATAACGCAAGTAGATGACCAGAGAATGGACGAACTAATTCAAGTGTTTTTGTTTGAAAAGCCCTCCCCAACTGATTGGAGAACGGCATTAATTTTAAGCAGACAATGGGACACTATTGCGCCTGACTTCTATAAGAGATGTCAGGACCGAGCAGATAGTGAGAGTGATCCTGCTATGAAGCTTCAGTTGCTTCGGTTAGCTAGGAAGTTGAAAGAGGTATCGAATTTTT